GTAACAGAGCTATCGGGTGCGTTCGTTGGTGCTGAATCAGCATGCTGTACTGGGCTATCTATCTCAGCTAAAAATAATCTGTCTTATCTGTGTCTTACAGCTGCCTTCTGTGCACAAGCTGGAGTGGGGAGGACTTGGCTGTGCTTGTACCTGACGAAGTATCCAGCATAGAGAGTGTTGATAGTTGAGCAAAGGATTCACCTACCCGGGTTTTCTAATCTGACGTGCAGTGGCAGAGACCCTGCGGTAACACAGCAGTTGCAGATGCACTCTCAAAAGTGGCCCTGCAGCAATAAGCACTAAATCGGTAGCACTCTTTATCCAGTCTCGTTTTAGCACTTGAATAAAGCTAGTTCTTATACTTAACTATTCAAATAGGCTGGCAATGGAGATTTTAACGCTGCTTTCAGCATGAAGAAAAAAAATAAGGTAGGATGATACTCTCTTTCCACTTACGTTTTCTCAAGTTTGAGGATATCAGCTGTGGATTGTGATACACCTTGTGTCATTCTAAGTGGGGCAACAGAGATACGCTTATCGACTCAGAGGGTGCTGGCGTAATTCTGCTGAAGCCAGTGGAGCTCACGCCAGTTGAGGATGCAGTCCACTGCATACATCTTGAAAGGCCTGTCTTCATGGGGAAGCCCCCACACCTGTCTAAAATTACTAAACTAAAAGGTATTTTTTACAAAAAGCAGCCAAACTGGAGGCAGTACTTGCACCTGCTATAAGCAGGCTTACTGCTTTGCAGTTCGCCGAGAGGGTTTGTGCAATTTTAATGTGTGATGTGTCGACCTTGCCTGTGACTTCATTCTTAAAATGGATTTTCACACAGAACTGTCATACTTAGAAAATTTCCAGCTTGCAGAGTGTGAAATTAGGCCTATGCCTACATTTTGCAGCAGTGATATTGCACATTTATTTTTATCGTTTTCCATATATTAGGGACTGCATACGGACACCTCTGGTTTTTGTCCCACAGATACAGATATTTCTTGTTTTCTAGTTAAGTTGGCTGTACTTGGCTTAAATGTTTCTTCTAGTGAAAGGCTGTAATAGCATTTCTTTTCAGTGGATCTTTGATTATTTTTTTTAACCCTGAAATGGGGTGACCAAATCTGAATCATGCATCTAATCATCTTGCAATGAACACAGCGTAATTTATGAGCACTTGAACAGCATTTCTCATCTACAAAGCACTTTACAAATGCTATTAAGAACCTCCTTCCATGACAGATACTATCCTCCCTATTGCAGAGAGAGAAAAATTAACAGAGAGGACAAGTGACTTGCCCAGGGCCACGGTGCCAACTGGTGAGACTGCCTAACCTAGGAATCAGTTTCTCCATTGACTCTTCACCTTTTTGCTTGAGATTTTCAAGTAGAAATTATCCAGAATATTGGCTTCTGGAATGTACGGCACAGCAGAAGTGTAAATATAACACCATGTTATGGCTCGCTCCCGTGCATTTTTTTCAGAGGGAGTTTGACAGCCAATACTGTCCTGATCCCTGAGAGTACAGGGAGGTTGTATGTGAGACTCTTCCCCCAAAACAGATTAGGTAGAAAAATCCAAATCAAGTGGTTGACATTTACAGAAGGAAAACTCTAGGAAGGCAATGATGATGTGGGAACTGACTTCACATGCAGACAGCATAGGATAAAAATGAAGACAGTCGTATAACCGCTGATCTGCTTACAGCCAGTAATACCCATCGTATGAACAGAGTACTTCTGCGGAACTCGGTGGTACTCCACCAAAAAATATTGGTACCCCATCATGATGATACTATGGTAGATCGTTTTTGTTTAAATGACAGCATTGTTTCCAAGCTACATAGCGTGATCACAGAGAAGTTTAGAGGAGGTTCAAATAAGGTAAAGGAGAGTTTACACTATCTGGGAGACCACTACCTACCCTGTCACTGGTGAAAACAGGGCTGTTTATCCAGGACAGGGAGAATGGACATTTACACAGCTGACAGCTATAGCCAGCTCTTCCACTGCTGTCCTGAACTACCAAGGCTGATGTTGGCAATTAAAGATCATCAGCTTTTCCTAGCTAGTTTAGACACTAGCCAGTAAATAAAATTGCTTAACTCTGTTCCCTTGAGGTGCCCAAGTTGCTGCCAACTTGCTGGAGAAGCGAGCCGAGTTTTACAGTAACCGGTGGGTCCAACACATAATGAGTACTTGTAGAGAGATTAAGAAAACACCGAGGTAAAGGATTTCAGCACAAAGATTACATTGTCTTCCTTGCCTCTTTGTTATGCAGTTATGTAAGGCTTTTGAAATTAACTATTTCACACAAAACTGCCTGGAAAAAGTAAAGGGAAAAGGGGTGTGTGCCTTCACTCAACACTCGGAAGGTAGCGACAAGGCAAGCCCATTCCACAGCGGCGGCGTGTCGGTCCAAGCGAGAACAAGCACGTATGCTTCAGGAACGGCTTTCTTACAGTTTGGTTTTGCTGTACAAAGTACTTGCTGTTTGCAAAGCATTTCTGGTAGACGCAGCATTTTGAACTGGCTGTGAGTTTAGGTCAAAACCCATGAAGGATAGGAACTGTGTTTTTAAAGTACCTAGCACGGTGCAAGCTGAGGAAGCCAGGTACTAACACGCTTCAGATTATTAAAATGTTCCAAGAGTTTATAATAATTGCTCTATTTGTATACAAATGAAAATTATTTTGAGAGAAATTAATAATGAAGTTTGTTCTTTTTCAACTCTATGTTGCATTTGTGGTTCTTACTTTTTTTATTTTGACAAATGGCCAACGGGATGACTGGTGGAGGACCGTGTATGTAAACAGAAGCAGCAGCATGATGGTGTCATCTTTTTGTGGCCAGAACAAAGAAACAGCAGTGCAGGAAGAGGTGTTTTTGCCTCCCTCCTGCACTGGGGGAGAGGAAAGGGTGCTGCCCCGACCATCAGCACTGAAAGGAGGTGGGGAATCGCAGAGCAGGGACAGCACCGTTGTCTGCACGGGGGCTTGGGTTGCACCTCTCAGACGAGTGCCCGCAACCCTGTGCAATCGTAACCCTTCCTTTTTATCTCAAAAGCTCTTTGCCTCACTCCTGTTGGACTCCCATTACTTTATTAAACAGCATAAATTCTTGCACAGGCCTCTTACACGCACCATTTGCTTTGCAGCCTAGAATTAGCTTCCTTACAGACATAACGAACAATGCAGCTTCCTTGCTCTGCCTATCGCTTGATCTCACCCAAGATTATAAGAAAGTATACTAATTGTTGAACAAAGACACCTAGAAATTTTATCCTGCCTCCTAATCTGTGTCCACTCTTCACTGCACTACTGAGAAACTCTACTAAATTACTTGTCTTCATGTAGTTTTGCTCAGATACAAGAGCATCCATCTTTCAACCAACACCAGGAAAGGCCAACTAGCTGGAAGCACTGTATGGAGCTATAGGGTACCAGTAACTGTGTCCAGCTATGGGATGGCTCCTGGTTTTCTGGAACAGTGCTGGCAGGAAGGTAGACCTGAAACTCCTCCTAAAAATCCATGCCCGTACCTTAATCTGTCCCAGACCTGGCCAGGTAATCCCTCAGCCTTTCCGGCCTGAGCCTACAACAATACAAAGTCTACTGAACCCCAAGCTTGCTTTCTAACAACAGTTTACTTTTGCTTTATACAAAACAGCCAAGAAACTTGTCAACTATAAAATAGCAGCCAATTCTGATACTTAATAAAGTAGATCAGCTCGCAGAAAGACCAAAACACCTATGGAAAACAAAATAGTCAGTAGGTCTACACTTGCATGTTCAATTTATTAGCCCTATGTTTAAGCTCACAAAGGCAGAAAACATAAATAAATGGCTTGTATTTCATAGCACAAGCCTCTAATCTCCGCAGCTCTCAAGTGAAAGACAACTGTAGAAGCTTCACTTCTTAAATGAAAGAAGTTTAAATATAAAACCAAATAAAACTGCCAGCAAAGTGTCTCATACTGTGTCATCTCAAAGTTTTTAATTTGCGGCAATGTTTTGCAATAGATGCACATAAAAGCCCTGTAAAATGTACGGGATGGAAGCTGGAGGCTTTGGCCCACATGGAAAAAGAATTTGTGGCAGCTTTAAGCACACTGAAAAGCACAAGAGATATTTTGGATTGTAAAAAGTAGTTTATAGCAACATTTCTGCTAAAATTACCTACAACAGAACACTAAGTGCACTTCGCAGTTTAACCAAGTCCTTAAAACCTGCTGAATAAGGACAGTTCCTGTCTTAAAAATATTGTTTCAAGCTCACCACATATGACAAGAGATGACATTTTTTGAACCACAGACTTTTCTTTTTTTCCTCCTAATATGCCATATCATATTAGCTGCCTTGCAGGATTTATATATGACACACACATGTATATGACATCAGAAAATAGTTGTTACAACCCTGAATTTAGTAGCACATACCTCCTAAACTTAAGCACACAAAAACCCTTGCAGTGGCCTGCTCCTTTAAAAGGTCTCATTCTCCCGTAATTAAGATCTGATTTTGATAAACCCACAAAAAATTATTTCTGTATTTGTCATCTAGTACCACTGTATCTTCATGTTCTCACTGCAGCAGCCCCTTTAGGCACTGCATTCTTAATCTCTGAATACTAAAATACCTAGATCTAGGAATACTCTTTTGGATTATGTTCCCAAAATGGACTTTAAAACACGTTTTCAAACTCCAAGTGGAACTTGCTTCTACTTTCAGAAACTAAAATATCCTGTCAGGGACACAGATGAAAAAAATCCAAACCTTCCAGTTTTGGAATTAGAGCGATACTTCCAGTTCTACACAAAAGCTTAATGGCTCACTCATAAACAACTGTCAACAGTGGGGGGATAAAAATGTACAGAGCAGGAGTCCCTTGGCAGTGCTGAAGTTAAAGATCTTTAAAGATACTGCGAGAAAAAGGAATCACATTGTTTGTGTTGTGGATAAGAGATTCTTCATTTACAATTAAATATATTTTGGAACGCAACAGCATTTATAGCAAACTTTTATTCAATAGTTTAAAAAGTGTATGGAAATTTTCATGAACAAAGAGTTACTCCGTGGAAAATACCTTCTTTTCCCCCTTAAAAAGTTCTTCTGCAAGAACATCCATTAAATGCATTTACCTACAGAAATCAGTTTTAAAATGCATGGGTATTTTTTGATTTCTTGTATACATATATAGCATTTCCATAGTTAAGAAGCTGTTGTCCTCAGCAGTGCACGGAAAGACATTATTTAAACTACCTGGTTACAGGACATGTATATAATTGACAACAAGCACAGAACAATTTATAGACTTTAAACATTTAATGTGCCTTTTCATCAAGGAAGGCAAATGATAACTGTAGAACTGCTTTACAGTGTGAGTGTCAATTTACTCTCATGTATTTAGATCTGCAGTACAAAGACACACACAAAACCTTTTGTGGAGTACACTTTGTTACAATAAACCCAGCTTGTATTCCATCATCATGTGTGGTTCTCCCATAACCTCACTCTGTGAAGGATCTGGAAAAAAAAAAAGTCAACAGCATGAGGCTTTTACCAAGCTACAAGACCAACAATAACTATCAATGTGACTTCCCCCCCCCCATTCTAATGATTAGTGCAACAGTTACTTGACTGATTTTTGACAGCGTGGCACAATGCAGGTCTAACTCCTATGTCTCTACCCAAAGCAACGATCAGATCACAAATACACCTATAGTGGAACACTGTTTCCTAAGGACCCACACACACACTTCAAGTAAAACCAACCAGGTCTACATAAGCACAGTCACCTAAAGCCTGAATCTCAAGGCTGAGTTCCGTGTTTAAGAAACCTCAAGTCTGATTGAAGCTTTTTCCTCATAGGTGCCCCACATCTCTTTCCAATGCAACTCCTCTGCACAACAGGAGCTCACGCTCCTCCCTTCTGTTACTTGGGACATCCTCATGGTTTCTCTTTGCCACCTAACCATCTAGTTTCACAGAAATTCTATGCCCTTAAGTATCTCTGAGATTTCCTCCATTCTGTAAGTATGGTTGATATTAGCTACTGTACTCAAAGGTTATCAAGGAATGTGCAGAGGAGACAGATACCAATACTGACAGTATGAACTTCATTTCCATACAAAAAATAAAAATTAAAGACAAATTCAAAGCCAGAAAAAAAAGGTTGTGACTGCACTTTGGAAGAAATACACCTTTCTTTATGGGTGTATCAGAGTGCGGAGTGTTCTCCTTCCATAAATAAGGCATATTAATTCCTCCAGAGACACCAAAATTATCTAATCCAGCCCCAGCTGGTAGACAGAACCTTACCAAAACCACTTTTAACCCACTCACTCCTTAGCACTCTATAAATATGTAACAGCCTGTTGTGAGCAATGGTAAATAACCAAGTTCCTACAAATTATATTTGGCATTGCTCTACCCCCTGAACCACAATAACCTCAGATTCCTTCCCTTGCTCCCTGTAAATCCATCCCGGAAAATAATCCCAGATTTACCTCGTGCCTCTAAATTCCCCACTTATTCCTCCATTATTTCCAGTTTCCTATCTCCCCAGCTCTTTCCATTCTGCAGTCCCACCTCAAAATACCCTCTGCCTCCTTCCATGTCCTTAACTACCAGCTAGAAAGAAATAAATTTTTTTTAAACTATTTTTCCAGGCTTATTCTATTCCACACATACTAACTGTCAGTCAGTAGTCCACCACACAACTGAAAATTGTTGGGTTAATTTGAGGGAGCCTTCCCCCTGCCAAATCTCTGGTTCCAGTTCAGTATCTCTCCTCTAGCCTTCCTTTTTAATTATAGAACATATAAAAACTTTGTATCTTTGTAACGTCCACCTGTCAAAATCTGCACAAGTAGTTCAAAAGTTTCTGGGGAAACAGGCATACAACATAAGTGCATAATCTTCTACTCCTTCAGAAACCCAGCCTACAAGCAAATACTGACTTACTCAGTATTTCAGAGTAACTTCCACACAACTAGCAGCTGAACCACACTTATGTCTCTTTCCCCCAGTGCTTCTTTGCCTTTAGAAATTCAATTTTTTCTTTGTATTTTGTGCATTTCATTCTCTTATTCCCTAGAGGAGAAGAACTTCACAGTTCCCAAATTTCACCTTTAAATGTTTCCATAACATTCAAAACACAATGTATTTACCATTAAGGATATCCTCAAAACCGATGCATTCATCACTTCCCCTCAGAGTATCCAGAGCTATGTTTGAGCTGTGAAGAAATGGGAGACGCTGGACCTGCAAAAAGACAAGAGTTCAAGTTTCTGCAAGTCTGAAATTGAGGGGGGTTTATATTTGGATTTCTCAGTCTGAAGTGACTGAGAAAAGCAACAGGCAAAGTCACTTCTTCCTTCGAAAACAATGAAACGAGAACTACTGGCACACATAGATAGCAAAGCCTACCTGACACCACCATCTTCTGTTGTTTCTCTCTCTCTTTTGAAGAGAAGCCTTTCGCTACATTTGTAGCTTTCACTGCAGTGTAGCTACTACTGCAAACAGTGCAGTAAAAAAAAAAAGTAGGTTTTTTTTCTCCTCTGTGGCCACATAAAGCTGGGGAGGCTCGCTGCAACAAACACATCTACAGCCTGAGGTCAGTACTGGGTGACTGACACACGCTGCAGTGTTTGGAAACCACATTCTAAATTTCCTACATCTCTGACGCAAGTCAGGAACGCAACTAAAAGAGCCAGATTGATTTTTCACATCTAAACATAATCCTCCGTGCAATTAATCTAAATCATAATTATTTCTCTGATCCCCACCAATTCTTAAGCTTCAAGTCCACTCCCAGTGACTTTCAACACTCTTTTCTGTACCATTCACCCACAGTATTACAGAAAAAAAATTCACGGGGTACACACAGCATTCAGATCCTAAATATTCTGAGAATGGCACATCTGTATTTACAATTGCATTCCCTACTAGTAGTGATACTTCACTTATACTATGAACATATTTTACAACCACAAAATTACCATGTAGCTATCTCTTTACACACAAAATATGTCAAAGTTTTCCATAATCACTACTGGTCCAATTGTCAGGAGTTCAAATACAATATTCCAGTAAGTATTTTAGAGTAGCGAAATTAAACCACGAGAGAACTTGTGTATCCAACCTGAAGCTGGGAGAGAAGAGCCTTCTAATGACCGTATTTCCCCTACCCATCCAAGAATACCTGTGGAGACACACTAGCAGGATATCCTCACCTGCCTCATTTTCTGCCTTGTGCTAACGTAAGTTAGGAAAAAGATTTTTCCTCACAAGACAGCACAGCTCAGATCATGGGATGTTTCCATACATCCTGTCTTTCGCATCTTCAGGACCAGTAATTTCTGCCAAGTTTAATGCAGTGCACTGTGGTTTAGTAGCACCTGATCCACTGGGAGTAGAGTATAAAATTGCTCTAACTCACCGGAAAAACAACTCTTAATAGCTTAAGAAGTTTACCAGGACCAATGAGCTTTCTATGTTTCCTAAGGGACAAAGTGAACCTCCCTCCAGTTCCTCTCTATCCTAGGACATAAGAAGGAAAAGGAGACAGACTCACCTTCCCAACTAAGAGTTAAAACCTTTGAACTTAACTTCCTGTAGACCTCCCCGATCTTACAAGTAATGCTGAGGAACAGAATAAATGCACATTGAAAATTCTCTGCCTCAGGTTTCATGTTACCTCTAGATCCACTCCCAAATCACTACCTGCTTCAGACCTCAAGTCTCTTTTTCCTATGGGTGCAGAGGTTCCTTCCTGTGAAGGTCCTATGTTCCACAGAGGAGAGTATTAATTTTAAGAATTAATACTCAATTCCTTCTGCTTTTCTCTGAAGGCTTACAGGATGCTAGTCCACAGAAAAGCTAGAGCAGTTACCACTTCACCAAGTAACCAATAAAGGAACAACAGCTGAAAGGCTTTAGTGTACTGACTGTTCTGGAAACTATTAATTGCAGCATTTGGTTGGCCGCTTTTAATAAAAGCAGTCCAGTGAAAGAATTTGTTTTGGAAACATAAGGTATTTCAACAAGGAAAGATGTCTCCCTGAAAGCATGTTCCGAGATAAACATTTTTTCGAGTGGTTTAAGTTGTATCAGTTGGATAAAAATGCCTACCTGTTTCACTGCTCTGAATTCCATCTGCAGCTTTAAAGGTGCGTGGAGTCCTTGAATATTTCTCAGCGTGGCAAAGTTTGTTTTATCTTGATTTAACTGGAACTATCACAAACAACATTGAGATTTATTTTAGAAAAAGCTATTTGCAATTACAGCCATATAAGACATTTGTGACATCCTACTTAAATGAACATGCTTATTAAATTGATACGTAAAAATTCAGAGATACCGTCGTATGTCTCAAACATGCACAAAAAACAGAGATGCAGTAATATTTGTTTTATGAAACTGAAATTGCTTTTTGCTGGACTTTATTACAAATCAATAGCCTACTTAAATGAACATGCTTATTAAATCGATATGTAAAAATTCAGAGATACTGTCATATGTCTCAAACGTGCACAAAAAATAGCGATGCAGTAATATTTATGAAACTGAAATTGCTTTTTGCTGGACTTTATTACAAATCAATAGCAGCAATTTGATTTTGTTATTTTTGACAATCAGGATATGTACCACCACCAAGTGGTGTAGTTTTGCAATACTTTACATTACTACAATATTGTCAGCACAAATTGGAAGCTAAGTCTGGTTTAAAGAAAGAACACAAACTTGAAAGCTACAATTGATGTTATTGTTAGCTGTCAAAGACTCTACTTGAAAACACTTCTTTTCTGATCAAGTAGGAAGACAGAGCACCACATATACTCCGTATGACTCTGAAAAGCAAAAGAAAGCTCATAATTTTACCAACTGCTCTAAAACTGATCAGTAAGCCAAAGAAAATCTATTTACTAGAAGGTTCTTTTAATGAAAAAGTGCTGGCTCACAAATACTAAAGTACACAAAAGTAACTTACACTTAATGTTAAACTTAACCTTGAGTAATCCAGTCTCAAATTTGTTTTTTTATAGTAGTGACTACATGTCTGTAATGTTGACAAAATACAATACTGTAAAGTAAAACAAAAAATACAAGCCTTTCGTTTTAAAATCACCATGACAAAAGCCTACTAGTGTGAGAATATCATCCCATTTATGCAAAGGGACCTCAAAGACCAACAGGAAAATACAAGTCAAAGGCATAAGATACATTTTCTTCATAACAACCTATACTGCATGCTCTTCAAAAGTTAGAAGAAAATATTATTTATATGCCTCATCCCAAACTTACAATTCTGGTCACCTTATTTTTCCGTTTCTTTTATTTTATAAAGGTAGGGGTCCTTATCTGGGTAGCAGAAACATTTGGTTTCTACTAGTGTTAAATGATTCTATGGTTTCTGGCAGTAAAAACAACCATAACTATCTCACGCTAAGATGAGTCTTCTCCCATTCAAATGTACATGAAAATAATTCTTAGATAAATCAGCCATAAACTTACAGAAAAGCTAACCAAACAGCATGTGGAAAAAACAATTTAAAAGTTTCTCATATTTCTTAGGGGATCACATTGTCTGTTTTAATTCTTTCTGTGCATTTTTTTCTCTCTAGCATGTAATCTTTTTATTATGCAGGTTTTATACAGGAAGAACAGAGTTAAAAACTAAGTTATAGCAATCAGTTGTTAAAAAAAAAATCAACTGAAAAATAGCTCTGAAATATTTATAGAATTTATAAATATGCTTGTGAAGCTGGTGTCACATTAACATCGTTCTTTTAGCTCAAGACAATGCTAGCTCAAGACAACAATAGCACTAGTTAGAATTAGAATATATCAGACATTACATTCAGACCTCGTCAAGGCGATTAGCTTTGCAGTTTGGAACATTCTATCCAAATACTGCTTTTGGTTCAGGACATTTTATTACATCAAATCTTCTGTGCTGACAAAACAGGCAGCAGAGACGAGATTCAGTTCAATCAGCTGTTTAGCCAAGGCTGTCAGTCCAGTCTCCCTTTACCTTCAACCTACGGTCCACAGACTGCTCTTAAGTGGTCCATGAGTGATGACTAAGCCAGACAAGACTGCACTTACAACAAACTGTATGTGTAAAACTTCTAGACAGGATCACGTAATTTAATGAAAAATATTTGTGTTCACAGACTTAAAGTCTGAAAATGAAGGTATATGGTAAACCTATACACAAAATGGGAGGATCAGAAAGTGACAGGTGTGTCCCCCACCCAACTACAGAGGCTGCCTACACAACTAGCTTAATAACTTTTAGATAACTAAACCTTACTAAGTAAATCCCTACTTGGAAGCCTGCTCACATAGTTGAAGTGGAGAGAGTCACAACTGGGAGGTTAACATTAAACAAATTTGCCAAAAATGTTATTTGTATAAATAAAATGCTACTATTGTTGAACATCTTTATTATGTTAAAGGCAAGACCCTACTCAGTACTTGTTACCGCACAAAGCAGTCCAAGTAACCACATTGTTAATTTAAACTTCATAATTAGTTAAGATGGCTACATTTGATGTTATACTTACATTTTTTTCTGACAACTCCAGTGGGTGGCTGGGCAACAATTCATTTTTCACACTTGCAAAGCTAGAAATACAATTAAAAAAAAAAAAAAATGAACTTCAAATTAATCGGGATATCGGTTTTTTTAAGTTGCATTCCAAAATTAATCTCAGATACAAACATCAACCCACGCAATTATCACAGTTTGAACTACAAAAAAAACTGAAACAAAAAACCCCAAACTTAATAGCAAAGCAGCAAATAAGATCTTTAACTACAGCACTACCAGAATAAAAAGAATTTAAATTTCCAGCATCCTTTTTTCTTTATGTCTGACAAAACAGAATGACAATTTTTCTTCCCTGATCCCCTTCAGAAATAGAGAAAAATAATGATAAATTAAAACATCACAGATTTACTTATGTCCAAGCGTGTATCTGATTTTAGAAGTCTTCAAGCTTTTGCAACTGAATATTCTACATACCTTCCCCCAACTCATAGCTGTATTACCCACATTTTAAACTCCATGACCTTATTTTAGATTCATTATCCAAGACATGTACATAGTTTTGCACTCATGTAAAATGGCAAAACCAAAACCCACTATTTTTACTATATTAACTTTACTTTTCGTACCAATGCTGAAATTCACCATTTCCCACAGTGCTATGGCACGCTCGCATACATGTATATTGAAACTAGCATATACTTCATAATTATTAATACTTTGCCATCTCTCTTCTAAAGAGCAGAATCACACAAGTAAAATTCCATTAACATTATCTACTTCTTGAAGTGATGTTTCATGGAAACTTCACGCTTGAAAGACAATCTGA